AAGTTTAATATAATGGTATAAAGTTTTAGTTATATACATAAAAAGTGGTCCCACCCAGATTCGAACTGGGGTCCTAAGAACCAAAATCTTATATGCTGCCCCTACACCATGGAACCGTTATGAATAGATGGGTAGGTGTAAGTAGTAAGTAGTAAAAGGATGTAAGAAGTAATAAGTAAGAAGTAATAAGTAAGAAGTAATAAGTAATAAGTAAGAAATGGAAGTAATGTAAGAAGTAATAAGTAAATAGTAATAAGTAGGAAATAGTAATAGTAAGAAGTGTATAGTAGATGTATAATAAAGTAATAAAAAGATATAAAGGTAAAAAGATGATAAATAATAACATAATAAATAGGGAAGATAATAAATATATATAAGCTAAGTGTAAAGATAGAAATAGGTAATAATAATATAAGGCGGCTTAGCTCAGTGGCAGAGCGTCTCTCTCGTAAAGAGAAGGTCATGGGTCCGATCCCCATAGTCGCCTTCTAGGTATTTTTTAAAGGGAATAAACATATATAAAAGGAATAAACATATATAAAAGGAATAAACATATAGACAGAGAGTGATAAAGAAGAATATATAGATAGATAATATATATATAATATATATAAATAATATATAGATACATAATATATATAATATATAGATACATAATATATATATATAATATATAGATAGTGATATATATATATACATACATACATAAGTGGTGATAAAAGTAGAATATAGTAGAATATATAACATAATATAAGATAGAAATATATATAGAAAGAGATAATAGTTAGAATATAAACATAGATAAAGTTCATAAGTTTAATATAATGGTATAAAGGTATAGTTATATACATAAAAAGTGGTCCCACCCAGATTCGAACTGGGGTCCTAAGAACCAAAATCTTATATGCTGCCCCTACACCATGGAACCGTTATGAATAGATGGGTAGGTGTAAGTAGTAAGTAGTAAAGGATGTAGAAGTAATAAGTAAGAAGTAATAAGTAAGAAGTAATAAGTAATAAGTAAGAAATGGAAGTAATGTAAGAAGTAATAAGTAAATAGTAATAAGTAGGAAATAGTAATAGTAAGAAGTGTATAGTAGATGTATAATAAAGTAATAAAAAGATATAAAGGTAAAAAGATGATAAATAATAACATAATAAATAGGGAAGATAATAAATATATATAAGCTAAGTGTAAAGATAGAAATAGGTAATAATAATATAAGGCGGCTTAGCTCAGTGGCAGAGCGTCTCTCTCGTAAAGAGAAGGTCATGGGTCCGATCCCCATAGTCGCCTTCTAGGTATTTTTTAAAGGGAATAAACATATATAAAAGGAATAAACATATATAAAAGGAATAAACATATAGACAGAGAGTGATAAAGAAGAATATATAGATAGATAATATATATATAATATATATAAATAATATATAGATACATAATATATATATATATAATATATAATTCATTATATTTGTCGTTTTGTTTTTGTTTGTTTTTATCGTTTCATTTGATTTTTTCTTTCTTTTTTCATTCATTTACTTTTTTTTTTTATCCTTTTTTTTTCTATGTATATCTTTTTTTCTTTTTTTTTTTTTTTTTTTTCAATTTTTTCTTTTTTGTACTTTTTTATTACTTATTGTTCATTTTGTTAATGCTTGTTTCTCTTCTTGCATTGTTCTCATTTTTAGTTAGTTATTGGTTTCCTTCTTTCGTATTATTTCTTTTATTAATAGTTGATTGTCATAATATTTATAATGATTTTTATTATCAAAACCATGAAATGTATTGTGTTGTGCTGTCTTGGTTGTTATGTTCTTTATAATTCTAAATGAACCACATGAAATAATTTCATATGAAAATGTATGATGTAGTGTCATATGAGTAGCATTTAAATATTGTTATTAAAATTATAATTTATTTATTTTATTATTTTGGTGTTGAATATTTGTGATTGATTATGTTTTAGTGTTTATTTCTTATTTTATGGTGTTGTTATTTAAATATAAAGAACTCAAACAGATAAATATGAAAACAGTTTAATAAAAAGTTTGATACATTAAAATAGAACAAAGTGTATTACAAAAATATTTATTTTAGAATTGTACTTTGTGTGATTCAATAGTGTTAACCATGATTTGTTGTTGTTAAATATGCAAGTATTGAGAAAGATAACTAATATTTATTTATCATATTTATCTTTTCTATTCATTCGTATTATCATTTCGACTTTTATTCATATTCTATTCATTATCAACTTTAATCTTCATCAATAATATTTAAATAATTAACACATCTTCTTTTTGTTTGAATAATTAAATAATGATAAAATGAATTAAAAGAATAATAAGTAAATAATATAAATGATAATCAATTTGATATTCTTCATTTGTTATTTATTCTTTTTTTTTATTTCTTTTGTAGATATTATTCCCTCTTATTTATTCATTATATTATTCAATTCATTATCAAAATAAAACATCAATTAAGAATTATTTATTTAATAAAATGTTTGAAAATGTTTTATTAATTTTGTAATTTCATCATCTTCTCTAGATAAATCAATATTAACATGCTTTTCTTTTTTGATATCAGTCCCATCAACAGAACCACTTATATTCATCACTCCTTTTTCATTAATTTGAATTGTAAATTTAATTGTTTGTTCTCTAGCTTTTCTATTAGGAATTCCATCAATACAAAGTGTAGTAATGTATTCCATTTCATATAAATTAACATATTCATTAAATCCTTTATAAATATTAAATTCTATTGTTGTTTGATTATCATAGACTGTACAATACTTTTTTGTAATTATATTTGTAGGAAGTGTTTCTCCTTCTTTAATAAGTATTTCAAATTTTCCTCCTTCTAATTCTATTCCAATTGGTGTTTGAACAATATCATATACAACTTCACGATCATCTCCTCGTTCTAAATATGCTAAATATGCTGCCCCTTTTGCAACAGCATTAATTGAATTAAAACTTTCATCAGCAAATGTTTGTATATCAAATAACTTAGCAACTCTATCTTTAATTCTTGGCATTTTACATGTTCCACCATTTAATAATACTAATTGGACATTTCCTCTTTTATATCCTTTTTTTTGAGTAACTTGTTTTATTTTATTAATAAATTCTTCATATATTCCTCTTTTGTAACATTCTTCTTCAAATTCTTTTCTTGTAATAGTAGGATCAATATCATATTTATCATCATAATCATCAGACAATAATAATTCTAAATTTAATTCAGTATCAGTTTTATCACTTAACTCAATTTTAATTCTTTCCGATTCTTCCTTTAATCTAATTATTTTCTTGTTGAATATTATCTTTTCTTTTTGAGTTATTCCTATTTTCTTTTCATAATATCCTGGAATAACTTTTTCTATTCTTTCAATAATAATATCAATCATTACATTATCAAAATCATTTCCTCCTAAATTTTGATTTCCTCCAGATGATTCTATAATAACATTGTCATTCACTATTTTACAACATGATACATATAATATTCCTCCTCCAAAATCAATTACTACAATTCTATCTCCATTTTTTAATAAATTTGGATGTTCTCTTTTATATTCAATAATAGCCGCTGTTGGTTCATTTTCAAGTTCAACATTCTTAATTCCTGCTAATTTACACGCTAATAATGTTGCTTCTCTTTGTCTATCATTGAATTCAGCTGGGACAGTAACAACAACATTTAATATTGGATGATTACCAAGTCTTGCTTGTGTAATTTCATATAAATATTTTAATATCATACCACTAATTTCTTCTGGTTCAAATTCTTCGCTTTCTTGAGTTAATGGATTATAACATTCAATATAAGCACTTCCATCATCTCTTGATTTTAATTTGAATGGCCAATGTTCACGATCTTCATAACTAACATCACGTTCATCTCTTCCTATAATTCTCTTATTATCATAAATAATACATTTATTATTAATGTCATATTTAGCCAGATTTCCTACAACAGCAAATCCAATATTATTTAGTTGTGAAAGACTAACACATGATGCTATTTGTTCTTTTCCTATTTCATCTTGAATTAAGATAGATTCATTTCTAACAATATCGTAATAAGCAACTGAAGAATGTGTAAGTCCTAAATCAATTCCAATTGAAATTGAGACTTTCTCTGTCATTAAATGAATATTATAAGATTATCTTGAATGTTATGACAAACAAAAACGAATATTTAGAAATAAACACATTTATTTATTTTATTTCAATCACATTTTCCAAAAATAGAATAATTTATTTTTAGAATAACAAAACACAAAAAATGAAAATGTTATGAAAATATAAATTACTAATTGAATACAAATATTAACTATCAGAACTTATTGATTCATATGTTGTGTTATCTCATTTTTTTCTGACAATTCTGTTAACTTTGTATATCACTAATTGATGTAAATGAAAAGAGAATTAAAAGAGATAAAATTAAAATAAAGAAATGTTTTTGAACTTATACAATAATAAATACTCAATTATTTATTATTGAATAGAAATAAATTTAATCATTTTATTGATTGAAATATTAATTATATTAATTTATAATGATGAAAAATCAATTAGAGAATAATTATAATTATCAAATATAATAATAAAATGAAAAATAAAGTATATTCATTATTAAAAGAGTTATTATAATTTATGAATAATATTCAAATACATTCATTATAACTAATATATCATATTATATTTAAAATAATAATAATAATAATAATAAGAATGTTTATTCTATCATTTAATATATTTCTATTAACTTTATTATTTATTATCATTGAATTATGATGATATAATAATTATAAAAATAAATAATTATTTAATCACATAATAGTTATTATAATTAATTGATATTCATCAATAATAAAATATATAATGAAATATAAAATATAAATATATAATAAACATAGAATTAATTATATTCATTATCATTATAAATTGAATTTAAAAATATGTTATTTCTATCTGATATTATATATTGATAAAATACATATAAAATACAATCAATAATTATAATATGTTATTCAAATATTTAATAATTAATGTCAATACTTTATATTAAATCATTTAATTCATTAATTTATTCAATTATTAATAGTTATACAATTGTTATGAATATTAATATAATTAATATAATTGGTATGAATAATATCATATTATTAATATTTTCATTTTATTATTTGATTAATGTTTTATATTATATATCTTTATTAATTAAATCATTTTAACAATGTTTTTTAATAATATCAATTGATTATTATAGAATTAATAATTTATAATGATTTTAGATAATAAAATAAGATATTAAATAATAAATATTCTATTCTAATAAATTTAATTGAATACAATGTAAATAAATAATTAGAAATACAAATTATAAAATAAAAAACATAATAAAAAGAATATATCAAACAATACTTTAATCAAATAATTCAACAATAAATATAAAATAAACAAAACAATAAAAAATAGAATCAAATGAAAATAATTCAGAAATTAATGATATTTATTAATTCACTCTTATTTTATTCAATCAATTATTATAATACAAATGAATAAAGAAGTATGAATAAATATATTCAATAACACAGAATGAATAAATAAATAAATAAATTATCATAAAATAAAAATAAAATATTTTAATAATTAAAATAACAAAATAAATAAATGTTATTATAATAACATTTATTTTTAAATTTGTTATTAAAAACATAAAAAAAAAGAATAATTTAGAATGAAATTGAACTTAATAATAAATATGAGATTAAATAAAATAACAAACTTAATGAAACGTGATATATAACAATAAAATAAATAATGTTATTAAAAATAAAAACTTAAAAATAAATAATAATGGGAATAACAACATCAACATCAAATAACATATCAATTGATAAAACAAAACATAAACTACCAAGTGACAAAAAACTAAATAACATATCAATTGATAAAACAAAACAAATAATTACACAAATAGAAGAATGGACAGAAAGAAGAATAAGAAATATACTATTTGATTCAGATATTGATGATTGGAATGTTAACACATCAGTATTTGAACAAAGAATACTAAATAAAGAACATATAATAATTATTATTGAAGATACAAAAGGAAATAAATTTGGAGGATATGTTAATGAGAAAATTGATACAGTTGGTAATTATATAAATGATCCAAAATCATTTTTATTTTCATTAGAATCAAATGATAGAATAGAAGAATGATGAAATTTGATATTAAACAACCACAACATGCATTTTGGTTATGTAATCAAACAGTTAATGGTTTATTTGGATTTGGATTTGGATATCCATGTGATATTTCTGTTTGTAAAGAAATAATAAAACAAAT